TGAAAGGCCCATGCATCTATATGTATACGTGTATCGATCGCAGGAAGATCGAAACGCGAACGAACGAAGATGAGGTCGAGAAGGAGGCTCGGCTACCTCCTTCTTTAACCGCCTCTGCGAAAGCAGGATAGAATGACGTGGAATTGAGCGGAAGTCGCTCGCGGCCTTCGCCGCGCTGACTTTTCGTCTCACACGCTCGATACTCGGTGACCAAAGAGAAACCCCGAGATTGTAATCTCGATGAGTTTACAAAACATCTAAAAGGATAATACATAGGTATTTACTTGAAAACATGACATTGGTGATGCAGCAATTAAAGTAGGATATACATGCCCGTTGTTATTACTAATTAACTTTAATCTCAACTCATTCTTCATCTTTCTAGTTTTAAAAATTAAAAAAAGATAAGGAGTAACTTCGAGATTAAAATTAATCTACATTGATGGAAACACAAGCATTAATCTTTTATACTAAAAATTACAATGTGAAAGAAAAGTTTGAAAAATTCCATAAACCGATCCACTTTCTTAGAAAATAAACAAAAATAAAAAAAAATTTTTGTTTTAATGAAGAAATTGAGGACATATATCGTGTATCGGAAGAAAAGAATTATCGGGATGAAGTCATCGTGTGTTTGCTGATAAGCGTTCGATATTCCTATACCTATACCTTGCCTGTCACTATACTATACAGAATATGTTGAAAAAAATTAGAAAAAAATTAGAAAAAATTCAGAATTAGAATTTCATCCATGCAAATTTTTACAGGTATCGTTGTTAACATTGTTTAACGAGTCCATTGTACGTCTACCTTTGTATATTTGTGCCTAAATAAACGATTAAAAAAAAATCTTGTTTTTTCAGATATACGGGATAAATATACCTTTCATTTTTATACTGTACGATTATGTAGAGTATTATAATTATATAGATACTAATATCATTGGACAAATTTTCTAATCGCATCTCTTGGCGTTATTTTTCAAAAACAAGATGCAAGAATTGTTTGCCGGGTTCAGTTATGGCATGTAACGCTGGCTGAGCATGCCACGATGTAATTAATGAATTCACGCTAGTCACGGCACAATAGACAAGGTTGTGAAATCTGCGCTATGTCAATTCGTTCGTTATTAAATATTAGACAACCGTTTGTTAATCGAACCATTAAATGTTGGACGCAATCCAATCTATCTATCGCATTATATACGTATGTGTAAATATTTATTTGAAATCGACTGTTTGAAACTGTTCTAATTCACAACACGTGTGCAAAACTAATTAAAATCTAAGGGGACAATTTCGAATGTTTTCTTATTAACATATTAATTTCATATCTGAGTGACACATCGTCGTACACGGACGTGTGCTCTAAAAATGTTTACCCTTTATATTTAATTTTAACAATTCTACTTCTTAAATTTTAATATGTTCAACAAAGCTTCAGTGCAATGCTTCATGTTTCGTGATGATTAACAATGCTGCATCTTTGTCAATTTGCGAGTGACTTAGGCATTATGGACATGTGAGCTAATTATACTTGTATCATTCTTGCTAAAGAGGACTCTCCAAAGAGAGTCGAAACGGTCAAAATAAAAAAGACATCAATATTTGGTGAACAATCAATATCTGAGTATTGATTGTTCACTAAATAATTGCGCCGTTTCTCGTTAGCTGATTCTCATTAGCCTATTATATTTATCTTTTGGTATTTGTTTAACATATTAACTTTTAACAAGTGATTCTCATTCGTGTGTGAATGAGTTTTAAAAGTAATTAGTATTATTTATAAATTGGTTTATAAAAGTATATAAATTACACACATTCGCCTTGTCATTTGAGATTTTTCCACGGAAATCCAAATCGCTTCGAGTCATACGCTACGAGTCATCGCGATATCTTCAACCTTTGCATTTTTTAAAGCGTCACGCGATTGCTTCGCGGCAACAATATAGCAATACGCATCAACGCAATCTGATATACTCTTATACGAGCGAGCGAAATTAAAGCGAAATCCTGAGATATTTTTGCAGACACAAGAGATCTTCAAACGTAGCTTTTCAACAAATTTTGTCTCTACAAATAAACGAGAAGTACTTAGAAGATGGAGAATCGGATAAACCTTCTTGTGCTAGATGACGAAATTTTTTTACAAGCAGCTCCGATATTACATTAGTTTAGAACGCTTTCCATTTGACGTTGACAAATCGACACGTTTTGCTATTCATTGAATGCCAAAGAAAGACAGAATGTTGTGACATAGTCTGTCGACTAATTGCGTTACGAAATGAAGGAAAACACTCGAAATTATTCTCGATAGACTTGTAAAAAAAAATATTTTTTCATCTAGGAATAAGATTTATCTCTGACGACTCTCTAACAATTTTGAGGGGAAAGAAACAAATTGACAGTAGGATGGATCGACAAGTTTGAAACGAACGTAATCGCAATTAGATTCTTCAAAACATGAAAACATGTTTAAAGTGAGCGATATTCGTGGAAATGGGAAGAAATGTTGGGTGAGAAATTTAGATGACTTAAGTGCAGCCTGCAGGTGCCTCGAAAGACGCTCAGCAGATGCACGTAAGAATGGTAAGATGGTAAGACGCGTCGGGCAACTATACGTGCACGCACCCATAGGCGTGCAAGGGAAGGTGGAGGAAAAAAGGGAGACGATGGATGGCGAGGGAACGAGCTTGTCGCTGTTTTTGAAAGGCAAGGCTCGCGACTCTACGAAGCGCTCTGCGCTCGTGAAAGCAAATGCAAGTATGCGCGAGCGAGCGAGCGAGCAAACGAGCGAGAGAGAGAGAGAGAGAGAGAAAGCGAAGGGAAGCGTTCTCGCCGTGCGTGCGTGCGTGCGTGCGACTCGCCCCATCGTTGCCATCGTTGGACGCTGTCAAAAATCGTTACGGTCCGTGTCCTCCGTCATCGTTCGTCATCCTCCGTCCAAGATGGGCAACTGTTCCCTTCCAAAGTCGAGTAGGGATTTAAAAAACGATCGCGAATTAAAGGAACGGTCCGCGCCCGTCCTCCAAAGATTCCGAATCCTCCGACGCGTGATCGATATCCTCTTTGTCCGAACATGGATACATTGCACGTTTGCGAATTAAACAGCCGTGCGAGCGAAGAAGACATTGACGTAGACGTCGGAGGCTCGAGGCATTCGAAATAAGGATCGGCCGATATTGACCGTCATCGTTGCAACGCTGCTCGACGCTGCTCGACGCGGCTCGACGCGGCTCGACGCGGCGCGGCGCGACTCGGCGTATCGTTCTTACAATTGGCAACTAGCTCAGGAGGCGCGACCGAATCACACGATGTGGGTCCTGAACAAGTCGCAAAAAGAGAAAAGTACAGCCGAGGAAGAGTAGTAGCTCGGATAATGCTCCGATCGCTCGGTCCATCACGTTCTCTCTTTCTCTCGCTCTCTCTTTCTCCTCGCGCGATCGCGTTCATGTATATGCATTACTTACTTCATGTTTGCTTGGCCGGTGAGCGTATGCTATGCCTTCATGCAAGCCGTATTCCTGCTTCTACACAGTATATCACCGAGCCCATGAAAACACGCGAGATTCGGACAAGATTTGCGGTAGTTCGACATATATAAATAACGAGAATGAGTCTTAACGCGCGGCACTAACACCACCGTGACACCCTGCCGCTGCACATCTGGCCGGCCATATTGCCGTCATTGCCGACGACTCCGAACTCCGAATTCCGACTCCCTACCACCCACCTACACATATACACACAAACACGCACACACACACACACATACGCTCAACGTTGTGCTGTGCCGTGACGGCTGCAGTGCGAGGTGCGAGGACTGCGAGGTGCGAGTGCCATGGAGTGCCAACAACACCAACACTGCTAGCAGTGACAGTAACGACAGTGGCGACGCCGGTGACGCGCACGGAGACCGATCGAGTTACGCTCGAAGAGCAAAAAAGTTTTACAAAGAAATTTCGACATCCGTCAACAGAGGGCGCAAATCCAGAGAGGGAGATCCATTTAAATCTCCGCTTTTAAATCTCTTTAAATTTAAATCTCTTTAAATTTAAATTGCTTCTTTTCTCATTGATCTCTTTGGCTGCCAGTACCGAAAATATAGTTGACGATACGTCATACGTCATACGTACTTATAGATTTTCGGTACTTGCAGCGAATAACGAAACGGAATGGAGCCCACGTTAGTCATAGAATATATAGATAATGACTGATGCAGATTAAGAACATAAAACGTTTCCCGCGTTACCGACATTACGCAATTTTCGAAATATTGCGCGATATCATCGACGTCAGGAACACGCGGCGATGCCACGCGGTTCGCCGCCTCGTCGTCTGGCGGTGACGGCGTCGGGTAGCCGAGCAAATGCAAGTATCGTAGCTCGTAGCCAGTATGAAATCAAGTCAGTATCAACTATCGAGTAGTGTCGCGACGTAAAGCGATGCGCGAATCTTGACGCGTGTCTCTTGATAAGCGAGCCCCTCACGCGAGTTTCAGCGGGTCTATCTAGCGTGAAAATATCGGGGGAAATCTGCGATCGCATCGCGGCAAGATCGAACAGCGTGTAGTCGAGGCGAGTATCGTCGTGATACGACTGATACGGTGGCTTTCCTCCCTCGATTCTGACAGACGAGATCGGCGGCAGAGACGGCAGGGAGCTAGGACGGTAGGACGTCGGCGAGAAACATTCGGCCATTTTGTGATCGCGCGCTGTCGGCGACGTAAACATCGGACTTTCCAATTGTATTGGAAGCGACCTCGCAGGAAGAGACCTCGCCGACACGGCTCGTACCGGACTCGTCCGTTTACATCCTTCCCGCATCCCGCGCGATTACGGGCGATTCCAGTCGATCGCCGTGGCACGATACCGTCCTCGCTAACGCGGTGACGTTTCGCGCCAAATCCCGAGTGGTGTGGTGTGATGTGGTGAGAGAGAGTGGTGAGACGCACACCTGGCGCAACACAGACAGTCCTGCTACAGCGCTACAAACAGCTACGAGCAGCTACAAGAAACAGCTGTCGTCGCGTCGCCGATCGTGGGGCGATGTCGGTGCTACTCACCGATCAGGTAACTGCAGGTAACCGGCATCGAGATCGCGGACGATTCGATTAGGAGCGATCGATGAGCGATTGTGCGTTTCGGAAGTCGAAACCGAAAGTCCGAAACTGACACTGCTCCGCGTCGCGCCGCGCTCCGATTTCCGATTTCTGAATTCTCCGAATCGAGCTTTACGCGAGCGAGCGTGCGTGCGTCAGTTACGTGTCTCTTGTTTACGTATGACGCGTCATTAGAGATGGCCACGAAATGTTCTTGAAACGCCACGCTGGACCATTTGATCCCTGCTACTTGTCGGAAATACATTTTGTTTCAATTTACAATCGAGTTGCAAAATTGCGCGTTTCAGATCAAACTGAGATTCGCGTTTGAGATGTGCTTGTCATAAAGTTTGAAACGCACAAGAGTAATGACATTTGTTTTTAAACGACAATTTCGACGATAAATTATTTCTGACAATTTTTTTTTCAGTCCATACTTTTTAAATATAAACTATCTTTGATATATACATTGATATTACGCATATATCAACTAATGATGCTGTTCTATTCTTTTCAGAATCGCGCCTTTACGAGAGAGCTTTAATCACTGCATAAAACTGCTTGTGCGCTATGACAAAAACAGCGCATTCGATGATTATTTGCTAGTGAATACTTTATCGATCAAGATTAAAGATATGTTTTTTGTTATTGCAAAGAGACTTGATGAGTGCACAAAAGCATAAGGAATGGTATTCTATTCGATTCAGCTGGATGTCAGATAAGCTGAAAAATGTCTGGTGATGCAGGATGGAACGCCGTTATTCATCATCCTTCCGACCTAGAATTGCAGAATTGGAATTGGGAAGAAAACGATGGGGAGCAAGAGAAAGAACTTCCTTCAACCGTTGACATGGATGCCATAAAAGGCGGCGGTAGTTGGGATCCTGCTACTGAACCTAATGGTATCTGCAAAATTGCCACCCATACATTTCTTTCCAATAATTGAAATGATGTCCCTCGGAATAAATAATTGTTTTTTATTGTAGGAACAGATTCGGTCGATTCCGAAGAAGACTCCGATTCCGACGACGAAAGCTCTGGTGGAAGCGAAGGTAGTTGCTCCTATTCGGATTCTAATTCAGAATCAGACGACGAAAGTAGCGGCGACGAAGAAGAGGAAAGTGGATCTAATTCAGATTGTTCGTCTGAACATAGTGAACAAACGTTTTCCATTCAAGAAACCAATTTTGAGCCGGTATGACGTGAAAAACAATGTTATATTCTAAATTCATTATTTCTTTTTGCGTTCTGTTACTGCGACTTTTGTAAAAAGGTAACTTGCCGTGCGTTGCAGGGAGCATTGAAATTGAAAATCACCATGAAAGGTCCAAAGAAGGAAGATTCTGAAAAAATTAAATGTGACAAAAGTAAAAAAACTGTTTCCAAAAAACTCAAGACCAATCATGGAAATAAGGTATTTTGATAAATAGTTGAAAAATATATAATGTGTAATCAATAAGAATTTGAAATTTAAAGATAAGAATGAAATATGTAGTGAAATTTTAGTATGTGAAAGTTGATTTATTTTTATTTTAATACCATTCTGCAATATATATATATATATATATATATATATATATATATATATATATATATATATATATATATATATATATATATATATAATATAATACACATACACGAAACATGTATTATTTCTTGCGCAATAAATAATTATATCAAATGATGTAGTCCTCAGAATGTAGTAGCGAAGATTCAGACTCGTCTGTTGTGGGCCATGCGGCATCGCAAAAAGTACAGCAACAACAGTCCCAGCAGCATCAACATCACCATCATGCGCCACTGCAAGAAATCAATCAGGAAGATTTAGCAACTGTCTTACCCTCGCAAGTACAAGAGGACGCACCATTTGACGGATTTGAGGATTCGGAGAGCGGTCGGCTGGTGTCAAAAGCGATCGAGCGTATGTCACTCGGCGCAGATTCGGACACGAGTGAAAACGGCGATCAGAATCCCGTACCTGTGTACAGTTCCACTTTGTTGCAGCAGTTCGTCGAAAAAACTGCTATGTTGTCGGAACCACGAAAAAGGCGTAGCAAATGCGCCAAAAAGTTGAACAACGACAACGAATATCCATGCGTATCAAATGTGTCACCCGATTCTGGCATTCAGTCCGTGGACAATAGTCCGTTACACTTGGCGATCAGTCCTGTCAGTCCTCCAGCGCCGACCCAATCTCCGACCCAACCGCCGATTTCCACTAAACCAGCGGTAAATGTCGATCGGGTTCTTTATCCTCCGAAAAGAAAACCCGGCAGACCAGCGAAAACAATGTCTACTCAGCCACGCGGACCAGGCAGGCCGCGTTTAAAGCCGGAAATTGTCGAGAAGATCCAAAAGATCGAGAAGGCAGAAAAGGAAAGAAATGAATCTTTAAAAAGTCTAAAGAATCCTGATTCTCGGTTAACGGAGAAAAAGGCAACTGTAAAGGAATCGTCTATAAAGAGCGCTAAGGAAGACACAGCGTTAGTTAGGAAACGTGGTAATGCAAAATCCGTTGCATCGAGGGAAGTGAAAGAGGATGCAACTCCTGCGAGTAAAAGAATAAAAGGTAAAACGACAGCGTATCAAAAGAAACGTTACGGTAACTCGGTGAAATCTTCGCAGGAGAAGACTGTTGTCAAAAAGACCGCAGGAACAAGTTCCCCGATGCGAGTAAAGTGCCTAAGTAGATCAACCGCGAACAAACTCGCGCCACAGTGTGACAGTAGAACCGGTCGGAAGGTCAGGCAAGATAAAACATGCGCGCCTAATAAGACCCCATTGACACGACAGAAGCAAATGTCCTGCGAGCATCAGCTTACTAACGATCAAAAGATGCTAAACACTAGTAAAAGAACAGGTTCGAAGGAGAATAGGAATAACGCAACCGCCGTCGTATCCAGAAAGCTAGCGAAAAAGGTCTCTGCGCCTCCTACCACTAGACGTGTTCTGAAGGAGAACAAGTGCAACAAAAAAACTACTGCGGCGGGCTTTGAAACCAATGGCGTAGGTGTGCAAACGTTAATATCGTTGCCAGTTGGAAACGTGTTGAAGGCAGAAAATGTGGAGCGAGCTTCCAACAAGTACCACAAACCGATGCAGCCAATACAGCACAATTATTGTCACAAGCATCATCATCACAAACATCGTCGGAGACTACTCGCACCACCGAAAACTCCCATACGCATCGATCCGTATATCATTCAGGAGCTGGAGAAATTAATCGAGGAATTTACAAAGTTGTGCAGTCTGGGCAAAAACAATAATAACAACAACAACAATGGCAGTAGCGTTGTCAATCATTCCGAGTTACCACAAATCTTTCGCGTGAAAAAAGTTACGAAGAAGAGAAAAGGCGGCGATATTAGTGCAAATGACGATCAAAAACTGAAGCGACGCTTGAAAAAAGAAAAGGTATTGACGAGCGCCGATTCTAAGAGCAGTGCAAACACTAGCACGAGTTCCAATCCGAACGAGCAGCGGTTACCATTGAAGAAACGCCATTATCATGTGTCGAGTCCGCACAGTTCGCAAAGCTCGAATGCAAGCTGCACGGATGCGAATGCGAATGAGTCCAATTCCACGGAAAGTCACATAGAGGAAGCGATCGAAGCTACTATTACGAGATACGGTGGTGGCAACTCGACATTCTCCATTCACGACGAAGAGGCTATGCCAGTGACGCCGAAAAAAAGGCCAAGAGATACCGAAAACACGGCATCCGAGAAACAGGGTAGCGATGAAGATAAACCCATCAGCCAGATAGAGATTCAACCACGACGAAAGAAAAAGATTATAAAGGATCTTCGTGTCACTGTTACGAAATTACCAGCCGAAAGTCACGGTCTTCTCGACAAGGACAAGTCCGCGGATAAGAGTTCCAAGATCAGCGCAGAGAAATCTAGTAAATCGGAAAAGACAATGATGTCGGAAAAGTCAACCAAGACCGATAAAACGCAATCAAACGACAAAATAGATATTGAACATGTTCGTATAGAAAAGAACATAAAGGTCGACTCGGAGACGCACGTATCTGAGATATTCGAGGACGGTGAACCTGTGTCCGATAGCAAAATAGCTCAGATCGGTAATTTGAATGTGCCAAATCTTGCGAATAATACCGCGGCGATGATACTCACAAAGAAAAAGATACGAAGACGGAAAACCATCAATCGCACGGGCTTTCCTACGTTGAAGAAAAAGAAGAAGAAGCAACTTGTAGATTCTCCCAAAGTGGTCAAGTCAACAGTGATTAACGCTAACGGAGTATGTAAGGATCAGGATATAGTCGAACATACGGAGGATAATAAGACGTCTTTGACAGAGAGTAAAGCTCAGAATGTTATAGAGAATAGTAACGGCACAAGACAAGCTAAGGATGACATGAAAAATTTGGAAAACTCTAGCACGGTGCAAGAGACATTCAGTCGAAATGGTTCGGATGAAGTACTCGAGTCCTGTCCCGGTCAATTACGAGTTCGTAAGGATCTCGTAGAATCCGACAGCAGCGTACTGTCCGAGAAGCAATATCCGAGTCCGGTAAAATACGAGAAGATACCAGACTATCGAATCTACGATGAAAATGCGCCGCTGGAAGAAACTCTCGAACGTTACAATCAGAACCAACGTATCGCGGAGTTAAACGAGGAAAACTTGCGGAAACTGGAACGCGCGAACGCTCAGGTAGCAAATGTCAAAATGGAATTATCTGGTTGTTTTAACAATAATCACAAAAGAAGAAGAGGCTCGACCAGTCCTTCCAATTTGTACGGAAGAAGCACAAAGAGATTACGGAGCGCGGGCTATGACACGGAGAGTGAGGCACCGCCTAGTAGCGATGTGGCCAGCGAGGATCAAGAGATTAGCAGGAAATCCGCAGGTCCTGTTCGTAATCGGAAAAAACAGCAAAAATGGAAGAAGCTATATTTACAGGCCAGCAACATATTTTCAGAGTATAAGAAGGACCTTGAATCTAAAAAACTCACCAATGTTGATGCCAAACGAAAACTTATTGTTTGCACCAATTCAGATGAACATCCTTCAGAGCAATTACCAAATATTATACCGACTGGAAAACTCTTGCGACAAAGGAAAACGCCATTTCAACTACAATATGATTTATTGTGGCTGCACGCTCAATCGAGATTGTCTGGTCGAGATTTGGTGCCATCGTGGAATTATAAGTAAATTGAATGTTCTTTTTATTTAATTTTAACTAAACCATCATTACAAATTTTATATATTACAAATTTTTACATACTTTTTAAGCATGTACTGTATAATATTATGAATAATTAAAATTACATATACATATATAGAAATTAAATTTAGTAAAGTGTGTGCGAATGACTTTGCATTTTTCTTGCAGAAAAATTCGAACAAACATTTATTATGACGTTAAACCAACTACTCTCTACGAGGCGCAAGCTTGTGAATGTAAACAAGAAAGCGGCTGCGGAGACGATTGTATTAATCGCATGGTATTCAGCGAGTGCTCGCCACAGTTGTGCCCCTGTGGTGACAAGTGCGAGAATCAAAAGATTCAAAAACATGAGTGGTCACCAGGACTACAAAGATTCATGACGGAGGATAAAGGATGGGGAGTAAGGACGCAACAAGCTATTAAAGCTGGGGACTTTATTCTCGAGTACGTGGGTGAAGTTGTGTCAGAGAGGGAATTTAAATCGAGGATGGCGACCAGGTATAATTCGTTTCATCTATACTAAATATCAAATCAATTTTTTTCATTCTTATCATGATCATACTTTACAAAAAAAAAATAAGTAAAAATGTATAATATGTAGATACGCCAACGATACGCATCACTACTGTTTGCACCTGGACGGTGGGCTAGTAATCGATGGTCATCGCATGGGAGGTGACGGAAGGTTCGTAAATCATTCGTGCGAGCCCAATTGCGAGATGCAGAAATGGAGTGTTCTCGGTCTACCACGTATGGCACTATTCGCATCGAGAGATATAAAACCAGGAGAAGAATTAACATACGATTACAATTTCGCGCTTTTTAATCCATCGGAAGGACAACAATGTAGATGTGGTAGTAATGCCTGTAGAGGTGTTATAGGTAAATTAATAGAAAGAATGAATTGTTTTCGTATCAGATATTTCAGTTATAAATTTACACTGCAGGTGGGAAGAGTCAAAGAGTAGCTCGAAGTGTTCCCTCTCTACCTTCGCAAATGGAGCCTATCGAAAGGCGATCGGTGGGCAGGCCACGGAAAAACATTCGTAAATCGAACGCAGTGCAATCGGCCAACTCCAAGAACATCTGCAAGTCTCGCAAAGTAGGAGATCCAATCTTAATGCATAATACACCGCAGTTGAAACCGATGTCTTATCAACAGCGATGCTTTGCGCGCGAGCATCATTGTTTCTTATTGAGGAATCTAGAAAAAGTTCGACGACTCAAATCGGCGTCAGTACAGCAAGTTCAAATACAGAACGGAAAAGCGAAATCCAGTAATACAGTCGTGGCGAAGGAAAAGAGTTCGGGAGACTCTAAAGCGCAATCCGATGCATTTTTCTCTCAATTAACTGCGCTGACCAACACCAACGCGCGTACTGTACGAACGCGTAGACTTGCACAAGCGCAGGATGATCCGGAGGTACATAAGACTGCAAAACTAGCTACGGTCAGTGAATAGCCCCTTTTATTGATTATAAAAAATGATATCAATAAAGAAAATTTCAATTATTACTACTGTAAATTGTAAAACATTGTTGTAATATTTTTTTTTTACAGGTATTAAAGAATTTGTATACAATTGTTACAACAGCGAATGATGAAAATGGTCAGCTATTGTGCATTCCTTTCATGACTTTACCTTCTAAAAGGAAATTATCCGATTATTATGAGAAGATTGTAGAACCGATCGATCTGATTACGATAGATCAGTGTATTGGTACAGGTCATTACAAGACTGCGGAACATTTTGATCAGGATATGATAAAACTTTTCGACAACAATGTTAGATTCTTTGGCAGAACATCCGAGATAGGCATTGCTGCAGCAAGATTGCGAAAATTGTACTTGGGAAGTAAACCAGATTTTGTGGATGCTATAACAGAAGCAACAGGTTCTCCTCCATCTCAAGGCTTTTTGCCACCACGTGGATCCACGGCTGGAGAAGAGGATGTGATTAGATGCATTTGCGGATTACATAGGTAAATTAATTATTTATATCAATTGTTGATCATATATATGTAAATAATTGTAATGAAAAGGAATTATGTATAGATGCCCTGCATGAATTAATTTAGATATATGTACCAATAAAGTGATTTCTTTTTTTCTTTTTTGTGCGTATGCATAATCGTAAAATATAATTTTTTTTTTTTTCAATACATTTATCAATATTATCTTTATTGATAATTGTACAGAGATGAAGGTTTGATGATCCAGTGTGAACGCTGCCTTGTGTGGCAACATTGCGACTGTGTTAAAGCAGATACGAGCGTTGAATCTTATCTGTGCGAAAGATGTCAACCTCGTGAAGTTGATTTAGAAATTCCATTAGAAGGTGAGGAGGAGGAAGAAGACAAGAAACATTATGTGACATTGATGCGGGGTGATCTACAATTACGACAAGGTGACACAGTATACGTTTTAAGGGATACTCCTGACAAACACACATATAAAACTATACAGAAGCCAGATTACGAGCAAATGGACATTTTTAGAATCGAACGTTTATGGAAGAATCACGAGTAAGTTTATATATACAGGGTGTTGCTTAAGATGGGTCGGGGGCACATTGGAGGCGGAGAATGGATAGGACGGCCCACATTCGAGCGATGACGAAGCGCTCTTTCCCCCTCCTTGCGCACCGCCGTCGTCACCACTCGAGTGTGGGCCGTCCTACGAATTCGCGCGGCGCAGCTTAACATATTGGCCTAGATGTTTCCTTTTTTCGAAAATTACAGCGAGTATCTCAAAATGGCATAAGAATTTTTTGTTCCCTTTGATCCATTCTCCATCCCCAATGTGGCCCTGACCCACTTTAAGAGACACATATATATGAGAGACTGTATATATATGTGTATAAATATATATATATGTGTGTGTATATATATATATATATATATATATATATATAAAGCATGCGTGATTTCATTATTCTATATATATATAGAATAATGAAATCATGTATAGCATATTAAAAAAATTGTATTATTTATTTAATAGAGGTGAGAGATTTGTATTTGGACATCATTATCTCAGACCTCACGAAACATATCACGAGCCAACACGAAAATTCTATGTAAACGAAGTTGTCTGCGCTCCATTATACGAAGCGGTACCTTGTGATCTCGTAGCCGAACGATGTTGGGTATTGGATCCTCATACTTTCTGTAAAGGTATGTAAAAATTAGCATTTTATTCGATCCTGTCATTGCAGATATGTAATTATTCCGTTATTTTGTAACAAAAATTCATTTTTTCATATGCTTTTGAATGAAGGACGTCCTGTCGGCTCTACTTCTGAACATACTTATGTATGCGAATATCGTGTTGATCGCGCAGCACGACTTTTTACGAAGGTGGCTAGAACTAGGCATACAGTATGCACGAAACCTTACGCATTTGAAACCTTTCCACAGCGTATAAAACACTATCGTACCTATTTGGTAAGTCCGATTATGGTTCTATCAAAATCATTTCAATATTAATATAATACATATCATGTTTAATATGGTAGGTAATATTTAATGTTTTTTTCAGCCTCACAGTCTCGATGGAATCAAGATGTTTAAAGACAAGAAAAAGAATAACAATCAGGAAATAGATGGAAATCAAAAGTTAGAATCCAATGATAGTACAAAGACGCATAACAAAGAACATAAATGTAATAAGACTAGGCGAAAGTCGGGCGAGATCTTAACAGTTGCATCGCCTGCGACATCATACGCTCAAGTAATTGTTAGGAAGAATTAAAAGATCATTATTTGTATACGATTATTTGTATTATTTTAACGTATTTATTATTTTGCAGCTAGAGGAACAGAGGAAAAAATTGAATCGCATTCTACTGAATTTATTACAGAGAATGCCAAATAAAAAAGATCCGTTAGATCTGTCGTTTCTTTTAGAAAGGAACAGACGAAACCGGAAAAGGCCCGGCGGACTTAATCCGTGATAGTGGGTAATATCACAACGATAATATCATGTGTATATATATACATATATATATAAATATAAATATAGGCTAATTTAGAGTCACTGCTAATTTCAGTCTTAGTCAGATTAATAGATTAGTTGATTCTAATCGCGTTCTAAACATGATTCTGCTACGTGAATCGGGATAATTGTACATCTATCCTTTCCTCTTCCCTCTCCTCACCCTCTATTAATGTAGAAGGTGCACAAAAAAAGTTTTTCCTCTTCATACAACCCGTCCATTGGTGTAATTTGTATCTATATATAGTAATCCAAATAATATTTAACATAGACAAAATTGTCAAGCGATATTTTTTTACATTTTTTTTTTTTTTTTTAATAGATATCTTATAATAAATGATTAGATCTTAAGGCTCCTGAATAATCACTACAGTCATATTGAATCAGAAGCGAGAAATGACGCGTTAATTTTTGTTACGTGTCACTTGTAAATAAAAACAATTCGAATAAAACGAAATGATGAGATCGCTTTAAAACAATTGTAAAAATGAACCAAAAGCTATTCTTATCTCTCCTTCGATTTTTAGTTAGAAAATAATCGTAAAGAATGATAAAAGACACATGAAGTACTTTTATATTTAATGCGTAGCCTATTTTCACTTTTACGTACCTTTTATTACTTACGATTATTATTTGACTGTCGATTATTTAAAATAAGGATAGTTTTCGTTCATTTTTACAATTATTTTAAATCTCATCATTCCGTTTTACCCAAATTGCCTTTATTTACAATATAATAATAAAGTACAATAAATAATTAAATACAATATAATATGTGGTGACTGTTCAAGAGCTTTAACATATATTTTTCTTGTTTAACTTTTAATCATTTAATTGATACTGATTTTAAACAACGTCAAGAATCATGTTGCAAACAATTAATAAGTACTTTAAACTGAATAGACTATACTCATTTCATTATGATTAATGAAAGAATAATCCAAGTTAAGGGTTGACAGGAGAGACTGTGGAGATTTTTATCACAAATAAATTTCTCCATTCAAATTATGGCTAAATTGTGAAAATTATGCTGTAATTGAGATATGTATAATCAAGCAAATTGTTATACAAGCTTGTTATAGAACGATATTTTGATAAAAAAAACAAAATAAAAATACGTTCTGATATCTCACTATAATGCAGTTGGGATGCAGATAATCTTGTTTATTTTGTTTTAAAGGCTAAACTACAGTTCTTTAACAGCGCAAAATATAATAAAATACGAGTTTTACATGCTGAAGAGTTGAATTTTGTAATTTAGTTTTTAAAACAAAACATTTTTGCTTCGTAAAATATGGATCAAAAAAAAGTCTCACGACATTATGAGACAAAATATGTGTGTGATAGAGTACAGATATACCTGTATTTGTACTATGAATAAGAAGCAAGTAATCAATTTGGGATTAGCCTGTCACTTCTATCGACCCTTAAATGTTAAGTGTGATCGATTTTTTCATGAGTTGGTTTACTGCATTAATGTAATTACAAATTGTGGACTTGTATAGAAAACATTTTGTATATTTTTTTTCATAGTTGAATAGGTAAATGTACAAATTATACGTTTCGTAGGGTCAAAAGATTAAACATGTCAGCGTGAGTGGAAAGAATCAGTTATATGCGAATGTGAATATGAGTGTGCGTATTCACGTAATGCTTTATTGCACAGAAGTAATATTCTATTTTTCATAATCTTTCACATATTATATTTGAATTACGTGTAATATATTTTCTTGACGTTATGATTGAATCTTTACTAATGTATTTAATTTATTAACATATTGAATAGTCGAATGCGGTCGGATAGGTCGCAGTGATTCCCAAATTGTACATATGTGTACTCAGGATTTCATATTTATTATTGCATTACACAGTATGATAGATACATATGATAAATATGTTTGATACATATGAATCTTATTTTTTCTTTTCTCTCGTATATTAAACTATTATGCATACGTTATGTTTACTTTTATAGAAACTCCTAGTATTATGTTTATTTCAACGTAAGACGAAAGTAATATTAAAAAAATAATATTAACGCATTATTCTACATATATTGATTTTTTAAAATTAATATAGAATATGTTTCGTTAGAATATTTTTTGCAACATTCGGAGTATCAGCAACAAATATAAACTATTATTTATTATATTGTGTAATTCAAAAATAAAAAAAAAGACTCGAAGCTGGCCTTCTATGTAAGTTAGTGTATCATAGGGATACACGATGCGTGAGCAATTTTTGAAAAAATTTTTAAATAATGCTGATTCAATTCTGCGTTGATTTTATCAAATGAATCGTAAGGATATTGAACAGAATGTCATCATTGCATTTTCCATGACATACAGTTGCGTCATTTTACTCGACTATTTTTACAAGATTCTTATTCGTAAGGAATGTGTAAAATGCAACTTATATTTGTTTTCGATATCATATTGATATCGAAAACGACATTGGTATTAAAAAGATCATTGAGTATCACAATTTATTTTAATATATGTAATATATTATGACTTTATACACAATTTTATTACGAATGTATGCTTTGTGAAATATTTTCAGCGACTTAGAATTGTTTTTGCTAACTATATATATTTGTGCATTAAGATATTGTATGTACATATTGTTTGTAAGAGTAATATTCATTTATGTTTATGGACAATTCTGTTTTCAACTATAATGGCATTATAATTATAATTAATGGCATTTTCAACTAATAATGACATTAACAACTAGCGGCATTAACAATAGCGGCATGTGTAACAACGATTTTCAATCAGATACCTTTATTGAAGTCATGTTATATATATTAAAATACAGTAAATTATGTTATTAAACGTTTCGTATCATATATGAAAATTATTATTATTATATTGTTCATAATTATACGAACAAAGGATTTTTCTATTGTGTATAACTTTATTCATTTTTATTATTAGCAAGATTTAACGAGACCGACAGAAATATAGTGATGTATCGAACAAAAGAATCATAATATTTTTATGTTAAAAAATCGGCAAAAAATTTTTTTTCGAATCTAAAATAACTTTCGTCTTACGTTTATTAAATCCTTTTATTCATGAAGAAGCGACTTTTTTATATTTTATATTATAAGCGATTTTATTTCTGCACATCATGATTAACCGTCGTTTGAATTGTCATATATTAATGCAATACATTAGCGACATTTTTCTCAACTCATCATTCGTAACAGTAGTCGTGTAATAACTTGTCTCCTGAGTTTGCTTATACATATAATTAACACTATTATAATACATTTAGATATAATCAAAAGAAATCCCTTGGAAAAAACGTTTGTTGCGACGACAGCTTACAAACATGTAGTGCATGTACAGACTATTGTATTCTGATAAACAAAAAATATACATGAAGTTTCCTTACACAAATCTGTCATACATGTTTTTGCTTATCTCAATCTATTTCTTTTTAATACCACTCTTGCGAATTTAGTAATTTTAATATAAATTTACACACAAGATATTTGTTACAAATTTGTTTTTTTTTGTTTTTTGTTTTTGTTTCTTTTTTTTTAGTTTAAGTTGCACATTATCTGTAGATATAAAAATACAGATAAAAAGCCAAAATAAATAGAAGAACCCTTTTATTTTTAATTAATGTTTGTACATTTTTGCGTCAACAATCAAGTTTACAAGTTATGCATTAATTTTATTTTGTCATATAGAAAAGAAACTATGCGTGATTATCGTCATTACACGATGCAGCCCGCAATATCGTGGCTTTTTATTCTTTACTTATGGTAACACAGAGGTACTAGCATATGCTACGTGTAGGTTAAATAGAGTTCCTGATTATTTCTTAAAAAATAGCTCACCCCCCCCCTTTCCCTCTATCTCTCGTCTCTCCTAATATTTCTTAATTGTATCTAACTTTGCGTATCGTTACACTTAATCATTACTTAAATTATTTTCGATTTCACACAGAAGTACTTTAGCTCGGAACATCACACACTGTACAATATGTACGGAGAAAAAAACGAGCTAATGAAACAATCATTCTCTGAATATAAAAAAAAAAGGATTTTTCCTACGAATGAATAGAAGATTGAATGAAGAGAAGGATTATTTTTCTTGTTCGTAAGATCTCTTTTAAATACTTGCTCTTCCAAACGATATAATTAATAGATTGCAGACATTTGATGCAAGTTACACTTGTTATTACTAAATCATATAATATATTTTTATTCAGTAATTGTGAATCTGTATGTAACAAGCGACTGGTTCGTGATTATATTCTCAGAATCGATGTACAGATATATGTATAAATATATATAGATATATATCATGTATACATATAAAAATATATCATTGATACGGTGCAGCTGAGATAGACATTGTGAGGTGTTCATTCTTTATTTGCTTAAGTGAGGGTGTGATAAAGAAATCAATTGTCCTAGCAGAGGAAGTACGTAGGGTAACAAACGCATTATGAATCAAATATCGATTATAATAGAAGACAGACAAGATCAATGTGCACAATTAAATATACAGAAAACGCTCTTTCATACAATATATTCAAGAAGTAGACAATCAGCACAATCATATTTATATAAGTGAATAATGATCGTACTAGAGAAAAGTATTTTGTATAAGATACAAATATTTCAAACTTTATATATATAATAAACCAATTAATTATCATAGCAACACCGTTCGTATCGTGTCATACAATGAAAAATCTGCATGTATAAAATATGTGTCCAAGAATAATTTATTTGCGCCACAATATTTTTTTTTTTTATACATTCTCGGTGGTGTATAGAAAGATAAGAATAGGGATAAACAATATACAATATATTTTTTCTTGCATAGTTTTTCTCTTTCTAACAGGGCACTGCTAAAAGTTTCACTATCAGCGAATTCACTAGTGCAGATTAAAGCTTGTCGCATGCTAATCTGTCGAAACTGTAAAAACATAAGTGATTGATAAAATGACCAATAAATAATACATCAAATAGTGTAAACAATTTATGCTTAGGTTTCAGAAACCCTGTTTAATTGCTTATGCATACATTATTATGTCAATTATTACATTTTTACTAGTACATGTCAAATTGTACATCAATTTGCACACCACAGTTTTTAATGTGCACAGATACATTCAAGCGAATTCGCTACATCTATTCAATGTATAAATAGATATTTTTCTGCATAATTTCTTTACTTTAGATCTGTACATATTTACACGCGCTTTTAAGATTGCTATCTTTTCTTTTCGACTTTTACTACTACTTGCGTGGTTTTT